AATTTAAAATATTTTTTTCAAAATATTTTTTGTCAAAAGATGTTCAAAAATGAAATTTCTATCCATAGATTATGTCCTCAATCTGTTTTAAAACATTCACTGGTTCATTCTCAAGGTATTGGAATGAAAATTTAAAATATTTTTTTTTTCAAAATATTTTTTGTCAAAAGATGTTCAAAAATGAAATTTCTATCCATAGATTATGTACTCAATCAGTTTTAAAACATTCACTGGTTCATTCTCAAGGTATTGGAATGAAAATTTAAAATATTTTTTTTCAAAATATTTTTTGTCAAAAGATGTTCAAAAATGAAATTTCTATCCATAGATTACGTCCTCAATCAGTTTTAAAACATTCACTGGTTCATTCTCAAGGTATTGGAATGAAAATTTAAAATATTTTTTTTCAAAATATTTTTTTGTCAAAAGATGTTCAAAAATGAAATTTCTACCCATAACCCATGAATACCCATGATCTCTTGACCCTTGGAAATAGTTCAACCCTTGTTTGCAAGGAAAGTTTATTTATATATGTATATACCTATGTGTTCTTAATTGCTTCAAGTAGATATTTGTGTTTGTATGTAAGTCTGTCTGTGCTTGTGTAGATATACATTTTCATGATGACAAGTCAAGCCTCCTTGCTGTTGGCATCAGAATCTTCGGCAACGTGCTGCAGTTCGTCCGCCGGAATCACAAGGCTGAAATGGCTTGCCACATGTCCCGCTCCATCTTTACTTCCTGCGCGCGCATTGTGCGGCCACTATGTTTTTTTGTTCCAGACAGGGGTGCTTCGAAAATGAAGAGTCTGAGTGTATCATAAGCAGCTATGTAGAGCCCAGGCACCGACGTTTGAGAGCAAGATTTGTTTTGTGCCCTCGTCCACACATTGAAGCGGGCTGAGCGATTTCCCGAGCACAACGATGTTCAAATCCATTTTGCAGGCGATCCATGTGATTTCACCATGGCCTGCATGCTCAAAGTTTTGGAGCACAGGCACCATATCATGTGGTCTCTGGGCTACTATCCAAACCTACTTACCTACCTACCTACCTGCCTGCCTGCCTGCCTGCCGACCTACCTACCTACCTACCTACCTA